TTAGCAGCAGACCCTTAATTCTTCTTTATAATTTCAGTACTTCAACCCTTTATTCTAAAAATAATAATTTTTTTTTCTGGACTGCTTCATTTCTAGATTAATCCTATCATATGACTTTTGCATAAAGATGATGACAGAGCTAATTCAGAGATTAAAATTTCAAAAACTGAAACCTTTCTCGTAATAAGCTGTTCTACTGGAATAACTACACTTTTCGTTTCTAATGCTGTTGATGCAAAGATTGTTGCTTGCTAACTTACTTTATTCTGTAAAACAACATTATAAATGTAACTGCTATAGAAAAGACACAATTAGCATTTCAAGTATTTGCGGCTGCAAACATTTGAAATAAAAAGGAATATTTAATCTGCTTCAGCTGCTAAATTTGCTCTTCAGTATGAATCAACTTCTCAATATCTATGAAATCAAAATTCCTGCATTGCTCCATTTAAGTATATAATATTATCTGTATCTATATTTTATAAAATTGCAGATTTATTAAATCTAAATTATTTATGGAAATAATGGTATGTGGAAAAATTGTACATTTAGTTAATGGCCAAAAAATTATTGAATTTTAATTATTGATGATTCAATTAAATAAGGCTGACTTTTTCAAGGGGTATTAGCCTTTTTTTCACTAGACCTTTCAATAATTCGAAATACTGGTTAACATTTCTATCCTTCTTGACCCAGAATTCTCAACTAGGGAGAAATCAGATCAGTCTCTCAAATAAGTAATCACAGTACATTGGTTAAAAAAGTGCTACTTGCAATTGTTCACCAAAGCACTTAATGTGGTCATTTTGAATCATCAAGAAGAATAATCCACTAATTTTCCAGTAATTTCAAGATTTTCAGCCTCTTTTTTTTTTTTTTTTTTTTTTTTTTTTTGTTGTTGTTGTTGTTGTTGTTGTTGAACTTACGAAAAGGAAATGATTCATATGATTACACAATTTGGAATTTGGCAGTTGCTAAACAACAAAGAGGATGATTAAGTTCCTTTTAAGACACCAATTATCCATAGTGAAAGATATTATTTGAAAAGACACAATATAAAATTGTATTTCATTATAACTGTCAAAAACATCGAAACAATACTGCATTGAAAGATAATAATTCCATGCATTTTTATTCATGAATTTCAGCCTTTTTCTTTTTTAATTTTACTTTGGATTTAAACCTCTGAGTGGCATTAATGGCTTATCTGGTCATGAGATTTTTTTTTCACTTGGTATACATTAGCTTATAATTTTAAATATTTTGCTTTCTTACTTTCTTTAAGATGTAAATACAGTCAAATACTGACCTGAAATCCGCATTGCCTCTCAACATATAAACATTCAGTTTATAGGTTCCGGAAACCGCAACATTGAGTACGAAATATCGAAGAAAAAATATTTGCCAAATAATGACATCATAATTAACGAATACAAATTATTGACATTATGATAAAAGTTTTTTTTTCCCTCTAATCTGCATCGAGGTGAAAAAGCAGATGATTCACTCAACTCATGAAGTTCACGATTCACATTTTTTTATCTGGATATTTTGTGGATAAATTGAGAATATTTTTAATTTCAGGCCTTTTTAATATAATGACAGATAAGAATCGCACTCATGATTTTACTGCTTGCAACGATGAAAAATGTAAATATGTTGCATTGATGGTAGTGCAAAAAGTGCAAATTGTGCAAAAGGTGGAGGCAGGTACCACTCCTCGGTTTATAGCAGAATCGTATGGAATTGCGCCACAATTATGTATGATATACGGAAAAATAAAGAAAAGCTGTTGAAATTTTACAGCAACAGTGATTCTAACACCGGAATCCGAAATCGCGGCGAGCAATGAACTGGAAGTTGATCTGTCAGCACTATCGTTATCTTCAGGGCAGATGTTTTTATTTTATTAGGCTTATAATTCCTTACTAAATGTAGTATTTCATCTCGATGTACTCCATCTTTGATATGATTTAAATCAAAATTCCTCGTCATTATAAATATCACGAATACACATCACACAGTTTTCTGGCTGCAATTTTCTAATTTCAACTATGTGTAATGTATGCTTTACGCATGCGTGCATTGAAAGAAATGTTTAATAAAGTAAACAAATAAGTATTAAGCATTTTTTTTTTTTTTTTTTTTTTTTTTTTTGTAAATTCTGATGCCCTTTAGATCATAATTGCTCTTTATTTCATAAATTACAGTTTCATATTTTTAATTTTATAACTTCTGCATGCCATCTTACAAGATTTAAACTGATTATCTATAATCCAGAAAAACCAATAATCCGGAATCATCTAAGTCCCGACGAATCCAGATTAAGACTTTTGACTTTATTTCTTATATCTTTATGGACTGTGAATCTTGGTAACTATTTCGTTTTAACTCTACTTTTGGGTATATATGAAGGTATCTCTTTAATTTGATTTTGAATTAATTTACAAATTATATATGAAAAATTTATTTATTCCCTCTTTTTCAATGCCTCAATTCAAAGTTTAAAATACAATATATCAGCACTAATTTGTTTACAATCCAGAGTGAATAGGAATAAATACTTAAAAACAACATCTGCTGAGATTTCTTTGGCACACGAAATGGAATTGGCAACACAGAAAAGGAGGTTGAAGGACACAGAACTTTTTTTAATGAAGTTTCAATTAAAACACTTAAATCTTTACAAATAAACACTTTAATCTGCTAACAGCAAATAAAGCCAAACATAATGACAGAAATAGCATAGGTATTCTTTCAGGTAAAACCTTACCAATGCGGGTATTTAAAATATCATATTTTATTTATTTCTGCATTAATTTAAGAGTATAAAAATTATTTTGAAAATAATTTCATTGTACACAATTTTGTTCATATGAAATGTTTTAATGCATTTTCATAAAAAATTTCTTTCATTCTTCAAAATATTTCCCTTTACTAATTTCCCCTTCTACTTACATTACATTCATTTTCAGTTTGAAAGGTATCGCAGCTCCATACATTAGTGAAATGAACATGAATACCATGTCTCTTATTCTTTCACTTTATGTTTCATTCTGTTAAAATTAAACTTTTTTATAGAAGAATTTCTTGAAGAAATTGTTTGTAAATGGTCACTAACCCTGTGTCCACTGACATTCTTTACTAAAATTGAAAATTTTCTCGAATTTTTAAATGAAGAAAATCTTTTATAGTGGATGACTTTTGAAAATGAGGTGATATAATGTTATATATTGACTGATGATGAAATAATTTCAGTAAATTAAGCCCAGATTAACAAAAAATGAAATCTCAATTCCTGAGCCTAACAAAAAAGCAAAAACTACTTTTGATGACAGCTAATAGTATTTAACATTAGGCTAGCGGTACCTAAACTTCTCAGAAAAACAAAAATTTTGCAATACATCAGCAAATAAGTCAATCTATAGGCTTTATGAAAAAATAATGAAAGCGAAACCTAAAGTGTTAAAAGCAACAATAAAAATAATGTCCTGAAAATACAAGAGTAATCATTTCTAACGTTAATATATGTATACAGAGAATAACGTGAACAGAAAAACATGACCTTTAATCCACAAAATTCACCAATCTGCACAATCCCACATACCAAAGTTGCAGATTAAAGGGATTCCACTATTTGAAACTCCTTCCACCCTCCCTTTTTCTAGCATTTTACTTCAAATAAATTAATAAAACACAAAGTGAAATTTTAAAACTATAATTTAAAATTTAAAAACTTGTCATCACTTTCTTGAATCAGATTAAAATGAAACTGTACTATAATAATGTATTTTTGTTAATTGTGTTTTATTCGGTTTGTTGTTTGGTACAACAATAATGTATTAATGTTGTTTAATAATAATGTATTAATGTTGTTTAGTGCAATAATAATGTAATTTTTCAAACTTAATATTTGTAGTTCTGTGCGAGACAAGTGTTTAAATTGATTTTTTAAGAAGCTAACAATGTAATTACATATGGTCTCTTCATAAAAAATCTCTCTACATCACTACATATACTGTTTCAGCCTAAAATGCCTGTTTAGTTTTCATAACTTCTTTATAGCATACTTATTAAAAACTGTCATACTAAATTAATTCTGTGAAATCAATATGGTATTTTCATAAACAAAATCTAATGTCAGATACTGATATTTTAATTGTAATGGTAATGTTTAATTGTAATTAACAAACATCACATTTTAAAAATGCATGCAAGAAGTTTCAGAAGCAAAGCATTAAAGAGCATTTTATTATTATTTATGATAAATTATTAATGCTTATAACTTAACACTGACAAATGTGGTGTTTTGCACAAGTACATTGCAAAAAGTACTAAATATCAGAAAAATGTATAAAAAGAAACTAACTTGATCGACAGTTAGAGTACCTTCTTTGCATGTTCTACATCGAACTCTCAGTTTTCCAGGACATAAATCCTTACAAGGGCCATTACAGAAAACAAAGAAATGACTTTTTTTGGAATATGTCTTTTCACCTAAAAATAATATGATATATTGATAAAACAAATTATAATGATTTATTTAAGATTAACCCTCTCAGCACCATGACAGGCTTTATCCGAACACGAGATTTTTTGTCATTTAGTATATATTAGCTTATAATTTAAGATATTTTGCTTTCTTACTTTCTTTACCAACATATAATGTCATTTTAATAAATGTACATTTATGAAAATACAGACTAAAATAAATAAATATACAAATTTAGTTAATACAGGCTGTTTAAATACAGGTCACGATGGATCCAAAAACCTGCATCTCTCAAAAGGCTAAAAAAATTAAATTATAAATGCAATATTTACTCACATATTTCCCTTCCCCCCCCCCAAGGACAAGGCTCTGAAATTTTTTTAAGTATTCACATAACTTTCCCCTTCCTCAAAGAAATCAGAACTAAAAGAATTGAGAACTTCCCTAAATTTTACAAATAGATTCATTCATGCAGTAATTGTTTTCATCTTATTAATGGATTTGCTTATGAATTTTGGATGCATGAGTACTGATGAAGCAATAATACTGAAATGCTTCAAAAAAACAGAGATATCAAATACTAATAATGGTTCTAGAGGTTAATTCAACATGGGGAAGACAGAACAATGAAAAAGACAGTGGTAATGATGATGATGGCTGTGACTTAAAAGTTATAGCAGATACTATAGAGAGCAATTAAGCAACAGTAAATGATCTGAAGCCTAGGTAATAGCAATGGATAATAATAAGAAAGGTTTGATTTCAAAATACAGAAAGCAAATATGAGGATATTTAATTAGATACTGTTCATGCTAATATTATTATGTAATCTTATTGGAATATTACTTTGATTTTAAGGGAATGTCACTTTCTTTTAAATAATAAATATTGCGATAACTTTCGGCAGTTTATCCATGAATACATTTAACTTGTTACTTTCTTCGTATGATTTTTCCCTCTCGATTTTAGTACAATAAAATTTGTAAAAAAAGGGGGGGGTGAATATATGAGAAAATATGGTACATTATCTTTATATTATTTTACATAAACATGATTCAATTCTATTTGAACAAAAAATAATCCAAATAATATCACAAGGGTAATAATAAAAAGGCACAATAATTTTAATGCATCTCAGACACAGTAAGTAATAGTTTCAGTTCATAGTAAGTTTGCTTCTTCAGTTTGCTGGTACTCTTGGTAATCGAATTTAACTATATATAAAAGATATTCCAGACACCTTTTGTTTACATTTTATTTATTATAAATATAATAGGGGGACCTGAAAGTAATGTCGTTTCTGCCGCTTGTTGACAACAACAAGCTAAGGGCAGAAGGGGAAGGAAATCCATGTCAAACACTCTTAACCAACCTTGGTCGACCATCCAAGAACATTTAAAGCAGAATGGGGAAATAAGCAAAGCAGGTGTTTGAGTCCCCCCATAATCTGTCCGAAAAGAAGATAAGCCAACCTATCCATCACATGCAACGTATTGCTTCAACGGCATTATACAGAAACGTTTTTTGATCGTTTGATTAGTGGAGACAAAAAAATAAGTCCTATATGATAATCCAAAACTCAAAAGGCAGTTTTAATAGGGGTTACAACGGGTTTACATCCCGAAAAGGCGCTTCTGGGTGATTGATGGAGTATTCACGAAATTCTTCATTTTGAATTTATGAAACCTGGAAAAACTGTTAATGTAGACCTCTATTGTGAACAATTGGATCTAGTGAACCAATCTTTAATTGAAAAATATCTGGCAATTGTCAACGGAAAAGGCTTCATTCTGCAACATGACAATGCATGACTGCTGCATTGCAAGACGAACACTGGAAAAATATCATGAATTGGGGGTTGGAGGTACTGCCTCACCCACCATATTTGTCCGATATCGCACCCTTGGATTTCCATTTATTCCGATCCCTATAACATTTTCTTAGTGACAAAAAATTTGGATGATGTCCAAAATGCCATCTCGAGATATTTTACTCAAAAACCAATAGATTTTTATCGGTCTGGGATTGAAATCGGCATACTAGATGGCAAAAGGTTGCTGATAACGAGGATGATTATATTATTGATTAAAAATAAAAACTTGTTACAAATTTATTCGTTTGAATTTAATGTAAGAAAGCGACATTACTTTCCGGTCCCCTTATTATATGTGTATAAAAACTCATAATAAATGCCTTAGATTTTGATTCTTACTTGGGGTAAGGGGAACAATAAAAACTCTAGGCTTTTTAATAAACATCTGTTAACTAGAAATTCCTAAAAAACATAAGTCGTTAATTCGGACGCCCATAATTCGGAATGATCTATAATCCGGATATCAAAGCTAAAAACTTTCTGCGCATGCGCCGCGTTAACACATGGAAAATATAACTTATTGTAAACCTTTTACTGCATCATCTCTCCTCCTTGAAATGTTTATTTAGTTTAGTTCTTATTTTAAAGTAATATATTAGTTACTTCTACTTCTTTTTCTTACTGCCACTGTTTGCATTGAGAACGGACTATTTCAAACTAATTGAGATGCAAAAACGAAAGTGATGTTACGTCATCTGGAAAGCCGATTCGTGTCGATAGCTGATTGGTTGCCGCGAGATGACGTCATGCCTACTTCTGCTATAAGTATCTCGCGTCGCTCTGGCTCACTCCTTCCTTCTAGTTCCTGCTTTCCTGGCACTTGGGTGTGCGGTTTCCAGCCCCTTCAGAAGGATGCACGCAGTCCGGTGAATAAAGTGCCTTGGTTCCTGTTCACAAGATGATTGTTCCAGAATGAATGCCTTTGGTTCATATCCATAAGATGATTGTTCCAGAATAAATTCCTTGGTTCCAGAGGCTACCATGTGGGCGGCATCCATTCTTCAATGAAGGTGGCATTAAAAATACATGAGCGGCGATTCCTCGTGTTCAACTAATATAAACGGAGTTAGGCGGTTTTGAGTGCTTTCAAGAACTTTGATTTAAATTTCAGGTGTTTTATCGACCATTGATCATGGACTTTTTGAATGTGTAGCCAACTTCATTTTGAGGCCGCTTAATTACTGTTTAGGACATTTTATTTGTATTGAATGCCAGTGTTTTTGGAAACCAGGTAAAAATATTATTTGATGAATGATGGTTATATTATATTTTTCCTAAGAATCTGATATTGTTGAAATTTATTTTCTGTGTTTTTATTCTTTATTATATCGTTAATAAATTGGTTAAGTTCAAAACCTTTTATTGTCTTCAATGTCTGCACAACATAGTATCTCAGGGAGCTTTTATTGCTACTACTGCTAAATGTTTAATTTTATATTTTGCTTTAGCATCAATAGGCGTTTATGCGTGCGCGTAAGACCTTTTACCACTGCGCATATGAGTGTGCACAAGCGCAGAATACGTTTTCGCATGCGCGTTTTATGCATAATGAACGGTATTATCTATTTCAGTTAATGTTGATGATTGCGCTGTTCCTTAATCTTCGAATTGGATCTGGCTTATTATTTTTTGCAGACTGTAAGAGCAATTTTATAAAAGTAAACTTGAACTTTCGATTATGTCAAATAGAATTTCCGATTCTGGAGCTCCCAAAGGATTGTACAAAACAAAAATATGTTTCGATGTCCATCAAACAAAAAGTGGAATTGCTGCAAAAAAATGGATAAAGACATGAAGAATGTGACAGAGAGGTTAGTGAAAACGAAAAAATTTCGATTGACAAGTTAGTCAGTATTCTCGGCACAACAATTAACGGACTTGAACAGCGGAACTTTGTAACTGAACAAAAAATTGTGTCTGTTTATAGAATCAAAGAGAAAGTATTATCACATAAAACGAAGCAACTTAAAACAACTTACATTGAAAGAAATGCTTAATAAAGTAAACAAATAAATATTAAGCTTTTTTTTTTTTGTAAACTTTGATACCCTTTAGATTATAATTTTTCTTTATTTCATAAATTAAGGTTTCATATTTTTAATTTTAGAATTTCTGCATGCCATCTTACGAGATTTAAACTGATGATCTATAATCCGGAAAAATCGATAATCCGGAATCGCCGAAGTCCCGACGAGTCCGGATTAACGACTTTTGACTGTATATATTTCCTTTGCGTAGTGTGTAGATGCGATAAGATGTATTTCCTTTTTTATGTTATATCATTGTTTGATTTAAAATGCAGTTTATTGAGATTATATTTTTTTGTTTGGCTCTAGTGTAGTACTGTGTGCTCCTTTGATTTTTAAGTGAAAATAGATTGATGCGTACGGCTAGTTTGTGCAATTTTCTGATGTTTTTTGAACAAAAATAGATCACACAACCAATCTGTATCATGCTAAAAGTACTCTGAAGAGGACAGTCTTAGCTAGTGTTTTCAAGGCCTGGGGACAACTAAAGATTTTACACCCCCTGCTGCTTGCCAAGAATAGAAAACATTTCTAAAATTTCAAAACATCAGCTTGGCACCCCTAAATGCTGCATCCAGGAACAGATATCCCCCCTTGCCCCCTCTAGTTACATCCATGAAAGAAGACTAATGTAGCAAAATACTAAATGCAAAAAACAGACTCTCAGCTTGCCCTCAGACTAACAGCAAGCTTTTTGGCCATATGTTTAATTTCTGAGTTAACAAAGTGATTTACAGTTTTTCACTCTACTGCAGATATTATGTTCTTTTCAACAGATTTCATCACCACAACAATAGTCACTGGATAGAGTAGACTTTAAGGTACCCCTTGTATTATGGCGAAGTTATTGTTTGATTTATCGCCAAGTTGCTCTTTCATTCATGGTAGCCTGAGTAGTTGAATGTTATGGAAACCCTATTGTGACGTAATTGGGTGCATGATTCTGGGAAATTTTGAATCGTGGGATGTTTCGTAAGCGTTTTTGTGGTGTGTGTTGGTTTGATTCTTTAGACGGTAGAATGGCCAAATGTAGTAAGATTAATTTGAAGTTTCTGTACGATTTGGAGCAAAAGGGGGAAAAGAGCTTTATTTGACTGGTGCGTAAATGAAGGTTTACTTAGTAGCCATTATAAGTGTCCTGTATGTAGGAAGAATATGTGTCGAGTCGAACGTAAAAACCGTTTAGATGGATTTGAATGGGTTTGTAGGAAGAAAGGTTCAGATATTCACAATGAGGAGCGTTCAATCAGAAAGAGGGCTTATCTTTGGAATATGGTAACAGGTAGTTTGGTGACATTTTGGAGGCGATAAAGGTTACTACCTAGGACTTTGGGAATAATGTGAGAAGTACTCAGTTCTGATTACGCATTATTTTGTGTGAGGGAATGAGAGATCATGAGATATGTCATGTGACATTAATGTACAAATCACTGTTCTTTAATCGGAAAAGGGGGTAAATTTGTAAAAATATCTGCTGTACTTTATAGCGTTAGTTTCATTCTATGTTCTGTGAAACAGTGTTGTTTAATATTTGGATCCCATGGCCCTATATAAAGTAAATCTGAAATTTTTATTGCATTTATGTGTGGTTGAAAAGAATTGCTTAATTGCGGATAAGTATGAATGTCCAACATGTGGGAATGAAATGAGATTGTGTGAAAGGAAGGATATTACAGATAAGTTTGAATGGTGTAAGAAATCTGGTGAAAATTGACATTTTATGATCCGCCATGCACTCAAGATTCTGTAGAAGATTAGGTAAGTTAGTATTTTTAATTATTTGAGGATATTATTTTTATGCATTGTTCTAAATGTAAGGAGTAAATAAATTAATACGGTATTATTGGAAAATTGTTATTAGCAATGATTTAGTATAAAGTAATTAGGATTGTAAGCTAATTTTTATTAATTTAATGTATGTGCTTATTTATATTTTAAGTAGTGTTTTTTAATTTAATTATATTTTAATTTAATGATTGTGATTTTGAGAGTTATATGTTTGTAGTATTTTGGAATACGTTTGAGTAGAAGTAAATGTGCATGGAAAGAATTTAAGTATTTGACACTATGTATTTGGAACCATTTTTAATGTTTGCGTTATAAATTGGCAGGTGAGGTTTATAATAGATAATTTAGAGGGAAAAGTTTTGGGATATTTTATTTATTTTATACGTGCAAATGTTTATCCTTGGAAAGGGTATATACTTTTTCGCGATCAGGTAATTTCATATATGTCCCTTTTACCGAATTTAAAGATTCACAAAATTTTCATGCATTTTCGTGAAATTTTTCTAATTTATGAGAAAAAAGCTATGTACATGGATATAGTGAAGAGTGTGCGCAATGCCATTTTTGTGCAATTCTGGGATGTTTTTTTAAGTAAAAATAAGTCGATGTGTACATGGTTTAATTATATTTTAATTAAATGATAGTTATTTTGTGAATTATATGTTTGTAGCAATTTGGTATACGTTTCAGTGGAAGTAAATGTGCATGGAAATAATTTAAATATTTGACACTAAGTATTTGTAACCATTTTTAATGTTTTGTTATAAATTCATTGGTGACGTTTATAATAGATAATTTAGAGGTAAAAGTTTTTGGATATTTTATTTATTTTATACGTGCAAATGTTCATCCTTTGGAAAGGGTATATGCAAGCTGAAGGTATAAAAGCTTGCATAGTATACATACTTTTTTGCGATCAGGTAATTTCATATATGTGCTTTTTACCGAGTTTAAAGATTCACAAAATTTTACTGCAAATTTTTGTAATTTATGAGAAAATAGCAGTGTAGATGGATAAAGTCAAGAGTGTGCACAATGCCATTTTTGTGCAATTCTGGGATGTTTTTTGAAGTAAAAATAAGTCAACGTGTACATGGTTACTGTGTATGTGCGTTTCTGAAAAACGCGGCAAGGAGTTTGCGATTCTGCATGCACTTTTTTCCCAATTTTGCAGTTAATATTTGTCATGATTAAGCAGTTTTGATCCATAAAAATTTCTAGCATAAGCGTAATTCAGGCTAGCAGATTGTTGGAAAATAGTGTTCAGTAATTAAAAAGAAAAGAAACATGTTTTTACTTCGTAAAGACAAAATGGCGGCAAAAAAAAAAAAAAAATAAGAAAAGAAAAAAGAAGAAGTAGAAGGTTGGTGTAGCAGAGTTGGTTGCCAAATTTTCGCCAAAAAATCGCCAAGTTACCATAATCCAAAGATTAACCAGAAAGAGCACCTGGTTTGGAAAAAGTCATTTGAGTATGATTGATATTTTGATTTTTACGTGGCTCTGGGTGTACGAAGCGAACGCAAAAATCATGGTAAGTGAATATTTACTTTTGGTAGTGCTTAAATGTATAAACATGTTTTTCCTTTTTTTATGTTATTTTATTGTTTGGTTTAAAATGTATTTTATTGAGATTATGTATTTTTTGTTTGCCTATATTGTAGACTTTGGTGCTCCTTTGACTTTTTAAGTGAAAATATAACGATGTGTACATGGACAAAGTAAATAGAGAGAGTGCGCAATGCAAGTTTGTGCAATTCGGGGATTTTTTTTAAGTGAAAATAGGTCGACGTGTACATGGATAAAGTTAAAAGAGTGTGCAATGCCATTTTTGTGCAATTCGGGGATTTTTTTTAAGTGAAAATAAATCGATGTGTACATGGATACCAAGTTTAGGCAACTGTTTGTCTTGTTATTTTGGCTTTGTGTAGCGGCAATTTTTGTCGCAAAAATCGCCTTCGCAAGCCAAAATAACGAGTCAAAGAATTGCACAAAATCGGTATCCATGTACCGCCAAAAATCGGTAAGTTTCGCCAAGGGGTACCCTAAACTATACTTTTACCTAGTCATTCATTCCCAAATTCATAGCCAGCTAAAAAGTAGTAAAATATAAATTAATCTAATTCACCTATTTAGTTGTACTATAATAATGTAAACTGTGGTGTAAAATATGTAACATTTAAAACAATGTATAAACACAATTTTATTTAAATCCATTACATTAATAATTGTAATAAAGAATTTTTATAAATCAAATCTCTAAAAGATCTAATTATCTAAAAAATACAAAAAGAAGTCAATCAATAACATTTGACAATTGGGAATTGATTCAAAATTCCTACAAATAGCATCCCTATTATTGAATTACATTTTGATATATTTAGTAAGTTTCATAATTTACTAGCTTGCCTAAAAAAAAGTTTTGTAAAAACACATTAACAGAAGCAATAAAACTCATGCAAATGTGTTGCATAAATGCATTCAGATAAAAGACATTTTGAAGAGCAAACATCGTATTGCATATTACCAAATAAATTTTCATTAAATTATAATAATAAAAAAAGTATGGTTATTTAGCACAAATATAAAATGAACCTATAAACAGTAACAATTTTTTATAGGAATGGAACTTAATTATTTTAAAGATACTAAATGTATAAATAATAGAAGAAAATATATAACTATTAATTTACAGAAAACATCATCTTAAAAGTTTAATGGCATTGCCTGATATTGATTATCCAATTACCTGTTTCATTTTGATCACAGTCATTTGAACAGAATGGTGTTAGATTGAGTGGACATTTTGCTTCGATTGTCACATTTACGGGTTGTTTTTTCTGTGAAACAGCATGAATCACACTCTGTTCACCAACATCACAATCCTGTGAAATAAACACAAAGGATTACTTACTTCATTTTTAACAAAAGCAAGCATTTCAAAAATATATATTGAAATATACTGTTACAAATATTACATAACTGGCATCTATACAAATGTGAAATCAATTTTTAATCTCCCCTACATATACAACAAAAACCTTCCCAAAAATAATTACAAAATTATTCAAGGTTTTTAAAATTTTGATTTATTGAAAATTATCAAATGAAAAATACTAAAATTGTAATCTATTGCCCTGATAGCAAGCATGTTAACTTTTTTGGAAAAAGATGTATGACATATAAGAAGCATATTCTCCACTGAAAAAAAAAAAAAAAAATTATAGTCTTATGCTAAGTAAACTTATTTTCTTTCACACAGCTAATGAATAGGCTTTGGTTCTGCAATGGAGAAAAATAATTTTTTTTATTTATCACCAAGAAACTATAACTACAAAATAATTCATGTCAAACTGAAACTTAATGGCTTTAAGCAGGTCACAACCAAAAAGAATTCATTAGAGCTAACAATGAAATGACATAAATATAGTAAAAATTGGTTGATCTTTGGATTATGGTAACTTGGTGATTTTTTGGCGAAAATTTGACGACCAACTCTGCTACAGCAACCCTCTATTTTTTTTTTCGCCGCAATTTTCTCTTCACGAAGTAAAGACATGTTTCTTTTTTTTTATTTACTGAACACTTTTCCAACAATCTACTAGCCGAATTATACTTATGCTAGAAATTTTATGTAACAACACTGCTTAATCATGACAAATATTAACTGCAAAATTGGGAAAAAGTGCACAATCGCAAACTCCTTGCGCGTTTTTCAGAATAGCACATACACATAAACCATTTACACGTCGACTTATTTTTACTTAAACATCCCAGAATTGCACAAAAATGGCATTGCACACACTCTTAACTTTATCCATCTACACTGCTATTTTCTCATAAATTACAAAAATTTGCACGAAAATGCAAAAAAATTCTGTGAATCTTTAAACTCGGTAAAAAGCACATATATGAAATTACCTGATCGCGAAAAAGTATATACCCTTTCCAAGGATGAACATTTCCACGTATAAAATAAATAAATATCCAAAAACTTTTACCTCTAAATTATCTATTATATTATAAATGTAACCAACGAATTCATACCGCAAACATTACAAATGGTTATAAATACTTAGTGTCAAATATTTAAATTATTTCCATGCACGTTTACTTCAATTGAAACGTATACCAAATTCCTACAAACATAAAATTCACAAAATAACTATCATTTAATTAAAATATCACTAAAACCATGTACACGTCGACTTATTGTTACTTAAAAAAACATTCCAGAATTGCACAAAAATGGCATTACTCACACTCTTCACTATATCCATGCACACTGCTTTTTTCTCATAAATTAGAAAAATTTCACGAAAATGCATGAAAATTTTGTGAATCTTTAAATCCGGTAAAAAGAACATATATGAAATTACCTTATCACAAAATGTATATACCCTTTCCAAAGATGAACATTTCCACGAATAAAATAAATAAAATATACAAAAACTTTTAACCTCTAAATTATCTATTATATTATAAACATCACCAACGAATTCATACCGCAAACATTACAAATGGTTACAAATACTTAGTGTCAAATATTTAAATTACTTCCATGCACGTTTACTTCAACTGAAACGTATACCAAATTCCTACAAACATAAAATTCACAAAATAACTATGTATCATTTAATTAAAATATCACTAAACCATGTAACGTCGACTTATTTTTACTTAAAAAAAATCCCAGAATGCACAAAAATGGCATGCCACACTCTTCACATATCCGTGTACAGCTTTTTCTCATAATTAGAAAAATTTCACGAAATTGCAGGAACGTATTCCAAATACTACAAACGTATAACTCACAAAATCACGATCATTAATTAAAAATAATTAAAAAAAAAACACTACTTAAAATATAAATAGCACATGCATTAAATTAATAAAAATTAGATTACAATTCTAATACTTTAAACTAAATCATTGCTAATAACAATTTACCAATAATAGCATATTAATTTATTTACTCCTAAATTTAGAACAAGCTACAAAAATATCCTCAAATGATTAAAATACTAATTACCTACTCAGAAGCTTCATTACGTGGCATTACTATTTCACACAACACATGAAGCTTAATACAAAATAATATAGTACTACAGTTTTCCAAATTCCCCCCCCCTTTCCGAGTAAACTGTAATTCTCCATTAATGTCACATGACATTCTCATGATCTCATTTCCCTCACACAAAATAATGCGTAATCGTAACTGAGTACTTCTCACATTATTACCAAAGTCCTAGGTAGTAACCTTTATCGCCTCCAAAATGTCGCCAAACTACCACTTACCATATTCCAAAGATCAGCCTAAAAATTTTCAAAATTATGTAAATTTATTGAAGGGATAACTATAAAAACAAAAACTACCTGAATCTTAACATTATCATGTAATTCTTTACCAGCAAATATTATTCGAAGTTCTTCGGTTTTCATACACAGTTTTGAACTGATTGCATGCTTTAAGTTATACACTGTCCAATCAGTTTCTAAATATACGGGCACAGTAGTTTCTGGACCACATTTTACGTAAATTTTCAATTTACCACTCATGTCATCAGGTTTTGATCGTAGAAAGAAGCCAATAATAGTTTGAATAAGGTAAACAAATAAATCAAATATCAACATGGATGTGAGTGCAGAAATTCAAGTCAATAAAGCTTTGTTATTTAGAAGCTATGTTGATAAACTGTATAACATAGCTTTTATTTTAAAATATTGGAATAAATAACTACTACATCAAGGTCATAATAACTAAACAAATCTATCAGATCATAGACACATATATCCACAGGTCGACAAACTACGCAGACCCATACTAAAGGAAAACAAATATTACGAAACTTCTCTTTCCAAATTGTTTGTTAGACAGACACACAAATGTAAACCAAGGAGGATGTAAACACATGAAGTGTTGCCAAATTAGAATCACATATCAATATGGATTCAAGATGGAAAATTTTTTCTCCCGATGGACGTTATTCGCCTTACTCCACACTACTTTCCATTTATTTTATATTCTGAATTACTATTTAACACCTACAGATATGCTGGAATCAATCAATCAAACAAACAAAAATTTATCGCTGGGATAGCCAGCGAAGCGCGCTGTTACCAGCTCAAGAAGAGTTGCACATGACTTTAAACCAAGGAGGTTAGAATAGAAGGAGGGAGGGTTCGCAGTTTCCTCCACTATCGGGGAATGAAGCTCCACGGAACAAGCGGCGTCCATGTTTGTAACTTCAAAATTTGCCATCGGTATTGAAACGTACGTGTCTCAGCTGTTAAATGCAGGGATTTTCCAGTAAAAATATCTTAATTTAAATGAATGCTTCGCTATTGTTAGTTTTTTGTTTAAAGTTATAAAGATGATATCCGTAATTTACTAAGTACAGAAAATCATTAAGAAATAGTTCGAAATCTAAATGATGTTCTGCATAACTTCAAGAATTTGTATGGTTTATTATCAACTTGTTGGTACTTTCAATTGTTTCTTTAAGAAGTGGATATTTCTGATTTATCGCAATATTATAAATTATTAAAGAATCCTTGTATAATTTTTACCTGAAATTAATAACAGATAATTATCTAAAAATGGTAACATGTTGCTTTTTTTAATGAATGTTTTATAGCTTTTTCTCAACAACAACCTTATATCAACAAGCAATAAATATTAATAAAATAACCAGATTTATGTGAATTCATTTTTCAGTTTATGGCGCGCTTCATATTTATAAATCTCAACGAATTTCCTTGAATTAAGCTGAATTACAGAAATGTACCATATAAATTTTGGATATATCTTTTCACATGTTCAATTGTGTAAATATTTTACTACGTTTATCGCAATTGCCCAGAAATTTGTAAGTTGCAAAAATTTGTACACTGAACAGTTTTTCTCGCGATCAAATGCACAAATTAATTCGTAACATTTCACAAAACTTAAAATGAATAATACTTAATGCCTAAGAAAGCGTTCTTTTTTAACACTTTTACATTCATAAAAATATAAAATTAATTTCTTACTTTTATGAAAATTATAAAACTATTTACCTAAGGTTCAATCATACAGTTAATTACTAGCACATATCATGTGATAAGGAACGAATAACAGCTCAAGCAAAAAAATTAAATGTGTTTAACAAGTTTCGATTATTATTAAGTCTTTTTTTTCACATCTGGAAAGAAACAACTGACATTGTGTATTTTTTAACATATTTATGAAATACACACACCACACACACAAAAGAAAATCATACTTACTAGTGAACAGTAATCCCAGGAATTTTTTTGAAAATCTATTTGTGCATCCATATGCAATAAAGCTGCATGCTTCAAAAAGAAAAGGGGAAAAGTTTACAATTACGACTTCCTTGCACAAGTCACGTGATAACCTAACATGGCCGCCAAGCTCACCGTTTGATTGAACCTTCCCTCCTTCTATTCTAACCTCCTGCTTAAACATTCTGACGTGGCGAAGGAAGTGTCTACAATACGACGTCGGACGGTTAGCTGAAAATGGTAAACGAAAGGTCGGTCTTCTACGGACCTTGTGGTAAAAGTACGACTAGTTGCGCAGAGA